ATAATAATAATAATAATAATAATAATAATAATAATAATAATAATAATGATAGTAGTAGTAGTAGTAGTAGTAAGAAACAGCTGGAAAGTCCTTGTGCTACTCTATGTAAGACTTGATTTATCTGGAATTCAATCAAAAGACACGATAGCTGGACGCCGTCAAAGCTGGTACCAGTCAAGAGCATAGAACAACTCGAAGTAGGAGAAGATCTGGAGAGACCTGGACCATGGAATTGGCAAGAGTCAGACACAACTTAATGGGTGACATCATCATCATCAGGAAGTAAAAAAATAATAATCACATTTAGGATTCGTCTGGGCCTGATATTCTTAGGTAAAGGTAAAGATTTCCCTCGCACATACTCTAGGGGGCAGTGCTCATCTCTTTTACAAAGCCAAACAGCCAGTGCTGTCCGAAGACGTCTCCGTGGTCATGTGGCCGGCATGACTAAATGCCGAAGGCGCATGGAACGTTGTTCCCTTCCCACCAAAGTGGCCTCTGTTTTTCTACTTGCATTTTTTTACATGCTTTCGAACTGCTAGGTTGACAGAAGCTGGGACAAGTAACAGGAGCTCACTCCGTGACATGGTGCTAGGGATTCGAACCGCCAAACTGCCGACCTTTCTGATCAACAAGCTCAGCGTCTTAGCCACTGAGCCACCGCGTCCCTTTTTCAGACATTCTTAGCCAGTGTTAAATATCTTGCATGGGTTCAGTTGTAGAATTTGAGGATATCATCTCAACTGATCCAAGATTTCAGATCACATGAATTGTGGCGTGCAGAAACTTACTAAGGGAGATCACCTTGTCTCCAAAGTCATTGTCCTTAAAAACCATAATGACTTCACTGCTGTCTACAGTGGGGTCTGTCCAGCGTCCGACTTGGCACCCTTTGATGTCATACCTGGAGGAACAAATTAAATCAGGAACATCAATCCGTGTGGATTCAAGTTTGTAGAAAGGATAGGATGTTCCTCAGCCTGGACAACATCTAGATGGGTTAGGGTCCCAGAATTCTTAGTGGTGGCTATTCAGGGGAATTCTGGGAGTTGAAGTCCACCCATCTGTAAGATGGGTGATGGCCTTTACCATTGGTTGATGGTAAAGAGGTTCTACATCTTATCCCAAAGAGATCTAAAAGCAAAACTTAGAAGACCTCTGCTTGGAATCCAGTCCTAAAGGAATATGTTTATGGCACTGAACTGAATAACTGAGTCTTCTGAGATACAATCCAGCCATCCACCCTCCATCCATCCATCCATCCATCCATCCATCCAATGAATCAACCAACCAACCAATCATCCAACCATCACCCAGCCAGCCAACCAACCAACCATCTGTCCATCCATCCATCAAACCAACCAACCAACCAACCATCAGCCAACCAACCAACGATTTATGCATCCATCCATCCATCCATCCATCCATCCAACCAACCAATCAACCAAACATCCATCCATCCAACAAATCAACCAACCAACCAATCATCCAACCATCACCCACCCAGCCAGCCAGCCAGCCACCCAGCCAGCCAGCCAGCCAACCAACCATCTGTCCATCCATCCATCAAACCAACCAACCAACCAACCATCAGCCAACCAACCAATGATCTATGC